GTCTCAAAAAAAAAACAAAAAAACAAAAAAAAAAACCTAGGCCGGCGAGGTGGCAAGCGGCCGTGTAGTCTCAGCGGCACTCGGGAGGCTGAGAAAGGGAGAATTTTTGGGCTGTAAACTCCGGAGGCGGAGTTTGCCAGTGCGCTGAGATTTCCGGCACTGCCCAACTCCAACCTGCGGCCAACAGACGAGCATCCATCCCTTCTCCCTTTCTCCCTTTCTTTCTTTCTCTCTGTCTCTCTTTCCCTCTTTCTTTCTTTTCTTTCTTTCTTCTTCTTTCTTTTTCTTTCTTTCTCTCTTCTTCTTCTTCCTTTCTTTCTTTTCTTTTTTCTTTCTTTCCCTCTCTCTCTCTTCCTCCCTCCGTCCCTCCCTCTCTTCTTTCTCTTCTTTCTTTCTGTCTCTCTCTTTCTCTCTTTCTTTCTTTCTTGTTTTTGATGGAGTCTCACACTGTCACCCAGGCTGGAGCACAGTGGCACGATCTCGGCTCATTACAAGCTCTCCCTTGCATAAATAAATAAAATGAAATAAAATAATTAAAAAATTTTTAAAAATACACCCTAGCAGAGGTTTTGGCAGGAAGTTGAGGGCTTGGGGCTTCACCTTGGCCTGGCGATCCCTGAAATTGTACAACACAGCTTGGATCTGGACCTGCTCATTCCTGACCACGGAGGAGGGCAACTTAAGGTCCACAAAGAACGATTTCATAACTGTCAGCTCAAAGGGGTCCGAGACACAGAGACCTAAAGCCAGGAGAGCACATTGGGTTTAAGCAGAGGCTTGGTGCGGGGAGGGGCTGGGTAAGGTCACCATACCCCCATTCCCTTAGCACTGAGCTTGCTGGGACTCACCTTGTCCAGCCTTGAGGCTGACCGCCACAAACTGCCATGTGGTGATGGAATCTGGCACGTTCACAGAGATGGGGTAATGGGAGATGCTGTTGTGAGTGAGGAAACATCACTGAGTTTGTGCTGCATGGACAGAGCTTCTGGGTTGGGGGTCGCCATGCAGTGGTTGTGGTCACCATTGAGGATCATCAGGTCACCTCATTAGTGACAGCATCGCTAGAGGGTCATCCTTTTAGGGAATCCACTAAGATGTTTTCCCCATTGTGGGACTGTCCTGAGGCTCAATGTCACTGCTGGGGTCATTGTCCCTGACCAGCATCCACTGATGATTGCAAGGACCTGGGACCAGATTCTGGCATGGAGGCTGATGTCCTACCCCGATTCACTCTTCGGCAGAGTGAACTTCCTCCAGAGCCAACTCTCAGGGAACAAGGTCCGTGCCGGCATGTCATCCAGGAAGAGGTCGTCGAAGTCCTCCTCTTCATCCACTGGAGGGAGCAGGTATGAGGTAGAGTCTCCTTCATGTTTCTTCCATGTTCCACCAGACTCCTTGTGGGATCCTCCTCTCCAACCCTCCATGGCCCATATCACCCCTTAACCTGTCCCATGTCACTCTGTATCCCTCCATGAAGCCCCCACCCTGCATCTCCTGCCATGGCCCCCTCACTTGTCCCCAGACGCAGCTGATCCTCTCGAGCCTCCCGAGTCAGGGTCTCAGACAGATGGCAGCAGTCCAGGAAAGCAGCCACACAGGCTGGACCATGGCGGACATGCCAGGTCCTCTCCTCACAGGACAGCTCCACTGGGCTTTCCTGGAGCCCAGCCTCACAGCACTTTTGCTCCAGCTCTGTCTTAAACTTGTTCACTGTGGGCCAGAGTCAGAGGGAAAGAGGAGGGTTGGGCAGGACCTAAGGACCATTCACCTTGATGCTATGCACACCTTGCCACTATTTAGCAATGACTCCGTGGTAGATTCTATGCCTAGTGCCTTATCTGTGCCCTTTCTGAAGCCTCATATTGAACTCACATGGTGAGATTCTGACAAGGAAGCTGAGCCACAGAGAGGTGAATTCATTTGCCTGGAGTCAAGGCTTCCAAGTGGCAGAGGTGGGATCAGAATCCATACTGCTTTTTTTTTTTTTTTTTTTTGAGACGGAGTAGCACTCTGTCACCCAGGCTGGAGTGCAGTGGCGCAATTTCGGCTTACTGCAAACCTCTGCCTCTCAGGTTCAAGTGATTCTCATGCCTCAGCCTCCCATGTAGCTGGGATTACAGGTGCCCACCACTACATCCGGCTAATTTTTGTACTTTTAGTAGAGACAGGGTTTCACCATGTTGGCCAGGCTGGTCTCGAACTCCTGACCTCAAGTGATCCACCCGCCTTGGCCTCCCAAAATGCTGGGTTTACAGGCATGAGCCACCATGCCAGCCTCAGAATCCATGCTTCTAACACCACCCGGTGCTGCCTCCCATCTTCCTCTGAATCCAGGCTCAAAACCTCTTCTTGTGGTCCACACTCTAGCCTTCAGGATGGCAGTTTATTCAGATATTGTCCAATGACACTTAAGACTTATCTCTTGGCCGGGCGCGGTGGCTCAAGCCTGTAATCCCAGCACTTTGGGAGGCCGAGACGGGCGGATCACGAGGTCAGGAGATCGAGACCATCCTGGCTAACACAGTGAAACCCCGTCTCTACTAAAAATACAAAAACTTAGCCGGGCGAGGTGGCAGGCGCCTGTAGTCCCAGCTACTCAGGAGGCTGAGGCAGGAGAATGGCGTGAACCCGGGAGGCGGAGCTTGCAGTGAGCTGAGATCCGGCCACTGCACTCCAGCCTGGGTGACAGAGTGCTACTCCGTCTCAAAAAAAGACTTATCTCTCCTTTTGTCTACATTCCATCCTGTACCACAGAGGCTAGACATTTGAAAACTACATTTCCCAGACTCCCTTGCTGCTAGGGTTCTGAATGGGATTAGATGCAGCCACTAATATGCTCTTATGAGAGATCTGGGAGATAGAAGAGAAGCAGAAACCATTTTTCTTGCAGCAGTGGTAGCTGATGGGTGGGCTCCAGTCTATGTGTGTTTTTGTAATGGGCACAATTTCGTGTTTGATTATCAACGTACCAGCCTTTTGAGAGATATTGGCAGCAGTTTCCTGATATTTCATGGATTGCAAGACTGAAGTGGGGTGATCTTGAGTCCCAGCAAGCAGGCTTCCAACTTCCACCCCAAAAGCCCATCTAATGATTTTGTAAGCACCAAACTCCCCCTATTAGATCCCTCCCTGCTAGAAATGCATAGAGTGGTTTTGGTGTCCTGTTCTAAGCCCTTATGGATACCTTAGGTTGGGGAGATGGAGCGAGGCATACAGCTTTAACACTGACCTGCATTCCTCTTTGTCTCCAGCCTCTTCAGGGAGCGGCGATGGCGGCTAGGAGGAGGGTCCTGGGGGCAGGGCCAGTCTGGGAGTCAGAGGGAATGATGATAGAACAATTACCAAGATCATTATCAATATCCTTGATGATGTTTATTGGGTGTTTGCTGTATGTCCAGCGCTTTATATGCATCACTTCATTTCATCTGACAGCCTCCTATATTCAAGACTTGTCACTTAAAAGCTGGGCAATTTTCAACAAGTCACTTAACCTCTCTGGGTGTTAATTTCCCCAGTGATGTAAAATGGGCATAACCAGAGTTCTGTCAATGAGATCATGCATATACAAGTACTTAGCACTGGGTCTGGCATGTAATAAATAAGAACTGTTATTAATATTACAATTTATAGCTGAGAGAATACACTCTTAGTTGTCTCCAAATCCATTATCATCCCTCATACAATATGGAGGCAAGTAAGCCTCCATATTTTATAGATCACTCAGAATAAAGACTACATTTCCCAGCCTCTCTTGCACTTAGATGGGGCCATGTGACTGTATTCTGACCAATGAGATGTGGAAGAAGTGTCCTCCCCTTTCCACTTCCCTTCATCTTCCTGCCTGGCATGGATGGACTCCTAGAAGGAGTCTGAGTCCCAGGATGACCTCTGTAGTGTTACTGAATGAGAAATAAACTACCTGTTTAACCTACTGTTATTTGTATCTTTGATACACATGGCTAACCCTGTCTTAACCAACACACAGTGAGTTACTTCTGTTATTATCTGTAATTTATGGACAAAGAAATCAAGACTCGG